GTGTGCCATGGCACCCCGCACCCCGCACAGCACTGCAGGCTGTGTGCCATGGCACCCCGCACATCGCACAGCATCGCAGGCAGTGTCCCATGGCACCCCGCACCCCGCACAGCACCGCAGGCTGTGTGCTTGGCACCTCGCACAACTCTGCAGGCAGTGTGCCATCCCACCCCGCACCCCGCACAGCACCGCAGGCTGTGTGCCATCCCACCCCGCACCCCGCACCCCGCACAGCACCGCAGGCTGTGTCCCATGGCACCCCGCACCCCACACCACGCCGGGCGGAGCGGCACAGCCCGAGGCTGAGCACAGCGTGGGACACCCGCTCCTCCCGGCCAGCGGCACAGGGCGGCAGAGACTCCCGTGGGGCGGCGGAGGGGGGTCGCCGTGCTCCTCTGCGGGAAACGGGCAGCGGGAGCTGCGTTCCCTGCGCTGCCGTGGGCAGGAGTAAAAACTGGGAGAAACGCACGCATGGGAAATGGGGCTGTCGCGCTAAGGAACATGTTCTCAGCCAACACAAAATAATGTCATTCTCATTATTCTGGTGGAGGTCTGTTGTCCTAGAGCAGCTGAGCTATTCAAAGTAGGTGTGTCCAAACAGCTGCTACTCGGTTGTTTTGCACAGATACAGAAACACAATTTACTGTTACTTTTTTTAAAACAGGTATCTGGCACCACGTGTTAATTTTATGTGGACTATATACACATGCACGCACACACACTGCGCCTTATTGTAATTATTGTAAACACTGTCTTATTGTAAATAAGACAATAAAAACTGTAATTTATCTGTTATGGAAACAACAACTTWCTTGATTTGCTTGTAACTAGAGACCCTATCAGCAACATTACTCATAATGGGAAATTTTTTGCAATTAATCAATCGCAAAAGGGCTCACTGTGTGCTTGCATCATTTTCTCCGGGTGTTGGTTCTCCCACAGTAAGCATGGCACATGCCAAAGCAAACTGTGCTCATCTCCTCAGTTGGGCTTTTTTTACCCTGCATCACTCCAGAAGGAGACAGGCCTGGCTATCAGCCTTCTAAGCCGGCTGCTTCATGCCCCAGAGGTTTCCTTTCCTCATCTTCCTTATGCCAACATTTGCAAAACTTGAATGGGCTAACACATGTTACTAGCTACGATGGCAACAATGATTACACAAGAGTATAATGGAGGCAATCTGGAAGTGTATTCATGCCAAAAGTAATGCTCTTTCTGGGTTTGACTGTGAGGCAGCAAGGGGATTTGGTGGCAGCATTAGCCTTGCCTAGGGAAGATTTCCATCCCTTCTGCTATTGATATTTTAGGTAAGGTGTCATGGTTGTGTGCTGCAACTCRGCAGAGGTCTTCAATACTTTAAAATCAAAGTTTCAGTGTTAGGCTCCTAAAGATGAAGAACCCTAAACAGAAGGAGTAATTATTCCAGAGAGTGAAGGGAGAGTCTGCCTCTATCCGTCAGGATCAAATGTACGACACCCTGCTTTCACATTTTGCTTTTATTGTGGGGACCTGTTAGGAACAGACATAGGTCAATGCAGTACCTGCACTCATTAATTAAAAAGAGAATTTGAAAATACTTTGCAAACCTCTGGCACGACTTCTTGGTTATTGTGCCCTATTATCATCACAGGTTCTACACGGGGCGGTAATTGCATCACAGAGGTTCCTGTTTCATACCATATACTCTGTTGAAGAGCTCAGCTAAGCCTAGTGTAACRTCCCCAGCACTTCAGCACAGAACTGCAATTCTGGATGAGCTCATTTTAGCTTACTGCCTGCATTAGTAACTGCCCTGGGAGGGCAGTGATCATCTGCGCCAGTTTTCCCAAGCAGGAAAGCAAGGTTTTCTCCAGGAAGAAAAGCTGCTGGTATTGACGTGACAGGACTGTGCTGGCTGCTGCAGGGTGGAGAGACAGATGGACAGAAAGACTGTCCTGCCTCTGCAAAGCCAAATGACTGCTGTGCTGAGGAGGTGTTACTGCTGGTCATTTCTCCTCCTATTCCTCACTTGGAATAAAACACATCCAGACACATGTCTGACTTGGTTGGCATGGACACCTGCTGGAGGTGCTGAGCATTCCTCCATAGAAGGTCCACGTGTTCAGGGGAGCAGCAGGGTCCTGTCATTAATGCAGAGGGCTGAAGAAGGTGGATCACATCCTCATCCCAGAGCTAGTGTGGATTTTATTCTGTGACCTCTGGCAATTCACTAACCTGTGTGCTAGGACTCTTTATCAGCCATATCAGGCTGTGTGGCAAGGGTGAATTGTCTCACTCCAGATGCCAGTGCTAGGAAAGCTGGGGCTCATGGTGCTCAGTGGAAGCTCGTGCTCTCTTTGCCAATACACCTGGACAGCCTGCCAACCCATTAACACCCATGCCACAGTAGGCCAAAAACAATGGGTAAAAGCATTGCAGATGCCACAAGAACTGAACCTTCTGCAGAGATACACTGGCTGTGAAATAGGGGTGTACAAGCTGCCAAACAGGAGGGACAGGAATTGCTGCCTTCCTGTTTGGGAACACATGACTGTCTGCTTGCAAAGAGGCCAAAGATCATGGCAAGTGACAGAGACATCAGAGCACAGATGATACCACCTCACAGAAAATGTGCAGAYACCAAATGACCACATGGTTTTGTTAAGAACTGCTCAGCTTCCCCAGCACCACACCGGTCAAGCATGAACACAGCAAAGCCTGGCTTTTCCCAGGGAACTCCTCTGTGAGATATGATATGCACCAGCTGGCCCAGTGCCCCATTTGTGCAGGTCTGACAGGTGAGCTGGGATTGCTGAGTTTCTGCTGCCAGGCTGTGCCCTGCRCTTGACTCAGCAAGGAAGCCATGAGTGAGTTACATCCCACAGTTTGTGCCCCAGCCATGCTTGCTCTCTCCTGCCCAGCTGAGCAGGGTGTGCCAGCACCCACACAGACTCTCCATCAGCCCCCACCACTGATCATGAGCCTGAGCTGGTGCCAGAAGCAGGAGGGAAGCTGCCCTGGGAGGTGATGAACAGGCTGAGAGGAASGCAGACAAAATCAGAAAATACTTTTTTTTTTTATAGCAGAAAGCAGGCCATACACTAAGGACCTACCACAAGAGCAGCTGAGATGAGAATGAAGAATGWGAAAGATCAAGAATGTCTGTTTGACCAGGTGTAGATTTGAAATCAGAACTGATCGTGTGTCAGGAAGAGTGGCATAATCAGGCCACTGCCACAACTGGCTTTTTTTTGCAGTTCCCCACCGACTTCCATTGGCATGTCTGCTCCAAGGGYTGCTGATCATGGCTGGCACCATCCAAATGCAGATGAGAACTAGTGTCTCATCACAGTGTGAATAATTTGCTGTGTTTTTCAGAGGTATGTTCCTCAGAGGAAAGGGTGSCCAATCAAACCAGCTCCTGCAGTGCAAGAAGTTAGCCTGGAACCCCTTTTGAGTCAAGAAAAATTCCCAGCACAACCAATATCTTCCTGAAAAAGGCAACCCCTTGAAAAAGCAGTGTGAGTTAAAAGATTCATCTTCCTTTTTAGACTTCATTTGTTGTGACCCAAGCAAGACATTACCCCATTAGTTGGCTGGAGCAAGGGGAGAGTAGTATCTGGAACATCCCAAAAAGTCCTAGAAGAGCTCAGTGCCTGTTTAACCTTGTGGTGTCCCACACTGCCTCTTCCTCCTCTCTAATATTGAGGGAAGCCTGTTTCAGGCAGTCTTCCAACATGCAGGCAGACAGCTGGTTCTTCACTGAGACTTCCTCCACCTCAACAGCTATTGCAAAGGAATGAGCACAAAAAACCTGGGGAGCAAGCTTCTCACCCCAAAAGTCTGTGTGTCAGTCTGGAACACTCCTGCAGTCCCCTCTCAGAGTATTAAACATGAGCTAGGACCCACTTTGCTCACACACTTCTCTGGGTGCAAGGGCTTGGTGAGAAATGGGAGTCTGCAAATCAGTATTGAGGGCTGGTTCCCTTGTTAGAYGACAGTGCTCTGGAAGGGCAGAGCAACAGGTGTGGGGCAGGTGCAGCTTACAAACACCCAGGTTTGAGAACTGAAAGCCAAGGACAGCAAGGTGGGTGGCAGTTTCCTCTGTACCTGCAGGAAGACAAACGGTCTGATTTGCAGAGAACCGGTGTGACAGGTGGATCTGGGGTATTGCAACACACTCCTGGGATGCTGATGATWAGTAAATAAGGAGGCAGAGGCCTCTCATGACCATGCAGAGGGCTTTGTATCCCTGTGTTTTCAGTAGCTGTGTAGCGGAGGTGAAATGGGGTGCAGAGTCAAAATAAAAGCCATTAAGCAGCTTTGTGGACCCCAGTTTTCTGGTATGCTGGTTTTGGGAAGTTCCTTGGAAAATTGCAWATAAATATGGAAGCGAGTAAGTTGCTTGTCTACTGGGTTTTTTTAGGTTTCCTATAGAAAACACTGGAACTGTTTGAAAAGCAAATGCATTTACTAAGGCATGGCAAAGCAGTATCAGAACATGATCTATTTGTTTAAGAATGGTCCTCAATGAGGAAGATCAAGTAGACAACTTCTCCCTSACACCCCACACCTTCTCTTTATGTAAGGAAAGGTCTTAAAAGCAAAATCTGTGAAGCATCATATCTGCATTCCTGGAACATCTGTAATTAAATACACACATTTCAAACCAAAGCACAGCTGGTAAATTTGTCCTTCACTTACCTGTCAGTCCATTACTTGTGGGGGGCACTGCTTGATGCCATACGATTGTGTCACTACGGAGAAGATTTCAGAACAAACTCACCTTTGGTAGACCATGGTCCTTCAGCTCTGTCATTCACCACAGCATCTAGCTGCATCCAGATCAACAGTATTTCAACACTGGGAATSCTGCTTTTAACATTGATCTTATATCTCCGCTCCATAGCTCAGAAACAAGGGCACTAGAAGGATCCACAGGAGAGGAAGGCTTCATCTGGGGCACTAATGGGACATGAGCCCAAAAGGAGCCAGATTCAAACAGAAAAGCTTGAGGACAGTGGTCTTCTGGTTCAGCCTCCTGGACTGCTGKCAATCTCTCTACTGGATTGCTAAAATAGGTGTTGCAAATACTGCACTGCCTGACTAGGGCAGGGCAGACTTATGCAAGTGCTTGAGCAGGCATTTTTCTGGTCACGTAGGAAACACCAGACTGAATTAAAAGGGATGACCAGGCAAGGAGTGTCCCGAGCTTGTTTCCRAAGTAGAAGGTTGTGTGGAACAACCTGAAGAGCAGGGATTCAGCCATCACAGTGCACTGTAAATGTTTTGTCTTTTTCCAGTAATCACTAGATTACCAGAAAACCCCTACCCTTTTCAAACTCCCCTTGGACRTTCAACACCCAGCCTATAGCACACATGACGGGATGCTCATTTTCCTGTGGACATCCTGAAGGAATGTGGGGGAGTACCAACACTAAAGACCACCCAACTCACAGTTACTATGTGATTTGCTATGACTGCAGTTATTCATCAACTTTAAAAAAAAAACAAAAAACAAAA